AACCCAGGTTTCTGGTTCCATCTTATGGCCATTTGTGGAACCACATCCAATTACAGTTTTAGTATTTTCTTAAAGACATAGTATTGAAATTTCTATCCTAGTTTATATATTTCCAGCCCAAATGACTATTAGGTGACTTACATTCCTAACAAATCTTTAGCAAATCTCTCAATTGCCACTTTCTCTAGAGGTAGCAAAGAGTGGATTGAAAGGCTGCAATAATGTAGGTCATATATTATTATTATTTTTGACTTTCCATCTTGATACCAAGTCATCAGGGAGAATTAGTGACATGAAGTCATTAGGGAGAAGTAGTAAGGCCAAGGAGCTAATGGAAAACAGAAGTTTGAGCCAGTAAGACAGATGACAGAGATAACATTTTTATGCCAAAGGTGCTTTTTCAAAAGACAACTAGACTTTCTTTCTTGAAAATATTTTGCTTCTTATCCAAGAAGTTTCTTCAGTTTTTGGATGAGAAGTGAAACATTTTCGAGGAAAAAAAGAACAAGGAAGTCCAGTTGTTTTTTGGAAAAGTACCTTTGGGACAACTGTGACCTGGATGAATGAGAATCTCCATAGACAGATAACATTCTTGTTTCCATCAAAATTAGAATGGTTAGAGAAGTTCTTAAAAAGTGTTAGATTAGATAGCATCCAGGACTTTAGATCACTACAGGGACATATCTATACACTGTACATAATTTGGGATGTAGATTTAGCTTTAAACAGCTTGAAGGTCACAGGAATGCATTTATTTAAAATGAAAAAAAAAAGCCTCGAATTGCCTTGGCATTATTTGTGCCTTTGACATAGAAAACTCTAAACTGTTCCTGTAAACTTTCAGTTTTTTTAAAAAAATACTTCCAGATATTTAAAGCCTGGAACTTGCTCTATTTTGCTAGTTCTTGATGTTTATGGCAGCTAGGATTTCCCTGGGTCTTAGAATAATTAATTGTAAGCTTTTCCTCTTTACACAATTGTGGTAAAATTTGCAAACTTCTCCTTTGTCTTTGTAAGCAACAAAATAGCATAGCCAAATATTTGCTTAAGCTTAGTATGATGGAATTCTTTTTTTGGTAAGAGTAGCAACCATTTAATTTGTACAAATATTAAACAGTAGAGAAGCTAAAACACATATCTGTTTCACTCTTCAGCTGACTGGAGTATCAGCAGTAAGATAGCCATGTTTATTGAACTTAACTTGAGTGACTGTGTTTTCATGCAGCATCTTGATTAGTGAAAGTAGCCATCAGTCAATAGATGTAACAGCGAGCTTCTATCAAAGTCAATCTCTTGGAATGGAACTGAAGGCCGATTTTAGTCAATGAAAGCAAAGTATAAAAGATGTTGCTGTCTCCCAGTATATTTTTTCTTCTAGGACTTACAGAATAACCATTCTTCCATTTTAGAATTGCTCTCTCTTGGATTAGGAAGAATAGAACATGAATATAATAAGCATTCATGGGAAAAATAAAATGGGAGAGTTCAACCTGGTCATTGCAGGAAAAAGAGAACTTCCTTTCTTTTTTGATTGCAGCCTAAACAAGGAAATTATATTGGTCTACCCAATTTAAATACCCACTGCTTATTGACAGGTCAGCTATTTATAAAAAATTGTTATCCAAGATTTAAATCCTGGATGAACTTGTTGACCTGTTATGTGTCTGAAAACCAGGTTAAGGGAGGAGGAAGGAGAAAAGCTGGAACACCTCTACCCATTGGGCTCTCTGATACAAGAAAGTTAAAAGGTGGGGTAGTGGCATAAATATGTAAGAATTCCATTTCAATAACCAAACATCCACCTGACAGCTCACCAACTGAATTTTTAACACTTGCTAATGCCATTGGGTGGCAGGAATGATATAGAGATACTATGACATACTCACCATTCTTTTGCATGGCTATTCCTCTTATTAGGGTGATTTCTGAAATATAATGGACTACTTTAGTTGTTTTGTCCTGGATATATCCAGATCTGTGATCAGGTAATTCAGAATTTAATTTCTGCTATGATGACTGTAGGTCTGTCCCAAGTGCTATCTGATCTGCACAAACAGAATTTGGTATTCTCTTTATTTGGAGCCAGCAATCTGAAAATGAAAGAGCTCCCTCTAGGTCTGTTTTCTCTCATAGGTAATTGTTAGGTTTGCAACTTCTGTATACTTTTGCAGGAGTAAGGACTAATTAAAAGGATAAAATTGAGAGATGATTTTCTCACCACATCTATGGCAATTCAATTGAAATCCTAGCTGATTTATGGAACGTATAAGTGGTTTAGGCTTGATGTTATAATAAAAGTATATTTCCATCTACCAGAGGGAATAAAAATTTATATAATAGCAAGAAACAAGTATATTCATGAGGTTATTAAAAATCAACATTGATTCAACACAAATTTTATATTACTTTGTCAATTATTACATAACACTTCATCACTTCTATCATTAGTTTATAAACTACAGTTCATATTTTGTAATTAATTATTTGGAGAGTTAAATGCTTAGAACAAAAGAAAAACAATTTAGGATTTTTAATATGATGACAACAGTCAACTGATTTTTGTAGTCTTCTTCAATTTTTAATTTGTACAATTTAGCTTAAAAATAGATGAAGTGCAGTTTCTGCACTTTCAATTTGTTTTTCTGTTGCTTATATATGTATTTCTTTGCTCGTTTGCTTATTGTTTTTATATAACACTAGGTCAAAAATGAGTTCTTGCATTTCATATTATAAAATATAAAAACAGAGAAGAAACAAAATAAAAATGCAAAATTACCAGAAAACAATAGGTGAGGTGGTTAAGGACGAATATATGGTCTGTTACATTTTGCACAAAATGTAGTTTCTGAGTGGTCTTTAGAGGCAGCTGTTATGTTCTATAATTATTGGTGGTTCTGTTATAGGTTCTATTATTATAATTCTGATTTTCAGTTGTATTTTTATGTTATAAATTGCTTTGAATTGCCTAATGTATTATTTTAATGAAATTGCAATGGATTTTCTTTTTTGAAGAAAGAAATGTGAGAATGATAATTGTTAAATATTTAGGTAAAGTTTCATATGGCAAGAGACCCAATATTGTGGTATTTTGTTTGGATACAGGATACAGTGTAAATTGTGATTCAGTTAATCAATCAAACTGCTGTTGAACAAACTTTATTAAAAATAAAGTTTAATTGTGTTAGTTTGACAAAAACTTTTTGTATTTCTTATAGAGTACTTTGTCAAATGGATAGTGACACATAGTGCACTATCCATTTGACAAATATTTATTTTTAATAAATAAAATAATAAATAATATTAATAAATAAAATGAAATATTTTAATATATTTTTTAATATATAAAGATAAATGAAAACCTTTAGTATTCTCAGTGTATTATTCACATATACGAGGGTCATTATTCTTTAATTTATAATAGGCATCATTTATATTTCATACAGTAATTCCCCCCCAAAGAATATAGACAATAGAGTTGGTCTCTGACAGAAAGCCACTTGAACAGATTAGAAGCATTTGAAATGTGGATTTACAGATCGCTGTTACATATAAGCTAGGTTGACAAAATTAGAAATGAGGAGGTGATAAACTGCCTGTAAATCATCAAACTTTTAGAAAGCAAAAGGTACAATATTTCAGCTATGTGATGCAACACCCAGAAAAATACAGCATACTTCATTTAATCCTCCAGGAAAAGATTGAAGGCAAATGAAGTCCAGGCAAAAGAAGAACATAATGGCTTCAAAATCTAAGGAATTGGTTTGGACAAAACTCAGCAGCACTTTTTCTTGCAACTGTTGATAAAAATAAGATCGCCAACATGATCGCCAACGTCTGATGGCGGATATGGCACAAGAAGAAGAAGAAAGAATATGGGATAAGATTCTACTTTGCTTGCAGTGATACTAGAAATAAAATAATAATAATTACAGAAATGTATGTTAATTGGGGCATATTTCCTTGTTAATGTAAAAAAAATCTGCTGCAATAAAAATCTTAAATTACTTGAATAAATGGGTCTTGCCCCTGACTAAAACCAGTTTTGCTATTATTTAATGTATTTTATTTAATGTATTTAAAGCTATGGGAAAGCTTGACAAAACACAGACTTTCAAGCCTCACCGCTTTAATATACAATTTGGTTAAGTCTCAGGAGTTTGATCTCAAAGATCTGAAAAGATGTCTAATTATGTCTTGACCACCTCATTGCTCACTGGCTATTCTTTCTTCTGACATTATCTGTCAATATGATTAAGCTAATGAACTCCCATTCACATAGTCTAATGTAGACAAAACAAAAACACCCTAAGAGAATGAGGTAATCCTAAGATTTAAAAGAATGAACAAGCAAACTCACTTACATACTTCTTGGAATAACTGATGATGAAATAAAGGATAGGAGCCATGTGGTATATAAATTTAATAAATAAATTCCTTTTGTACAAAAATGGCAAATCAACCACAAATATGTATATTTGATGACTAGAATGGCTGCTGTCAAACAGAAAGATCAAACTGGTTTAGTATGCTTTGTTCTTAAGAAAGCCAAGTTGACAGCAAGCAATTTCCAAGATTAGAAACTAATTGCTTTATAATTTGATCTTACAAATAGTTCCCAGTTTAGTCTGGTTCAATAAGTTTTAGAACAATTTATAAAGCAGTCTTTCTAAAACTAATTCGGAAGAAAAGGAATTTTCTTAAAAGCCATTTGGGTTTGCTGCAACAGTTTTCTATCCCCACCCCAACCTGGCTAAATCTTTTTTTAGAACCTCTGTATATAAAATCATGTCAAGTTTAGAAAAATGAAATGCTAGAGCCATGTAATTGTACGTTAACAGTTTAACCTACTTTGATAGTGTTCTACAGACATTTATAGAATCTTAAATGTCTTTATGAAATAATTTTGGTTTACAATTACAAAATGCTTTCAGGTTTGCTTATGGAATAATAGGTTATATGTTAAATGAATATTAATTGTACGCCTTTGTATCTGTACCCAGGTAACTTCTGGTGGAAGAGCAAATTACTATGTGTCTTACAAAAGGGAACCCTTTACTCAGATAAAATTACCCAAGTATTCACTACCAAAGGTAAATGTATCCCAACAACTAGAAGAATAAGAATGATGTATTTGATTTTCACAATATTATACACAAAATAAATTGTTTTTTCACATTTCTATAATTTCTATGATAAATTATAGCTAGACTGCTGATATGTGATTCACCATCCAAGTGCTTGAAAATCCTTGCTTTCTTTAACCTATACAATAAAATGGGGATGTCTACCAAAGCTTTTTGACTACATGATTGATAAGTTGCTTTAATAATATTAATAACATTATATTTTCATTTCATTTTGGCAATAAGCATTTAACATATAACTGGTTGATTGTGTTTGAAAGCAACTGGAAATAAATGGACCCAGTATTGTGATTTTCTACTGAAATAGTTCTATGAGTATTAATATTATACCCACAGGAAGTGGCATTTTTACTGGGGATATTTGGCTTTGATAGCTCTTCTCTTTACTAAATAAATCTATGGCTAGGAGTTACGTTGAAAGTGGCTCTAAATTTAGGCATTGGGTGTTTTTAAAAATGTTCACCTTTGTTACTGGCTGTTACCAAAAAAACTAGGCTTAGGCTCAGTGTCTTTGTTAGCTTGACAGCTGTGCTTTGTCTCTTGTAGGCCAAAGGAAAGCTTTAGGCTCTGAACCTACAAATCATTGAAGAACAATAAAAATATGTGCAAGTGTATAAATAAAAAATGAAGTAGGATGAAACTTCTTTAAAGATTCTGGAATCTGTCTTCATCTTCCCCACTGACCACCCTGCAGCCAATTTAAAATTAAGAAACATATAAATAAGAATACCTGAATGTCATAATTTATTGGCTTGGTCTAATGGAAAATTGTTTAACATCACTCATAACTCATGATCTTTCCCCTGCAGTGGCATAAGGCATGATAATTGATTTGTGTCCCAAAGGGCAAAGAAATATAAAGATTGGCAGTAATAAGTCTTTTATTTTCCTTAACAGGACATGCATATTATCAGCACAGATGAGAATCAGGTGTTTGCTGCAGTTCAGGAATGGAACCAAAACGACACATACAACCTCTACATTTCTGATGTTCATGGTGTCTACTTCACACTAGCCTTGGAGAATGTTAAGAGCAACCGAGGACTAGAAGGGAATGTTATCATTGATCTTTATGAGGTATGCACCCAAACTCACAATGAGGCAAGTTGTCCTCTTATAAAAGTAAATCTCACTTCCAGATACTTAATTGAAAAGACTGCTGTTTTAACAAGAAGACATGAAGATGGAGCCAGATCTATTGAGAGATTTCTAAATGCTTTCAGAAAATAAAAATGAATTTATGTATGTGTATGTATAGATTCATGGGTGTATGTATACATACATACACTTATACTATATAAATTCTTTTCAACCTTTTCAACCCCTAACTGTATATTGTGCATGCATGCACACACACACACCCAGATAACATATTGTGGTTTTTTTTGACATTTTAATTCTTCCATTTTGATATTTTTGATATCTATTTAATAGGAGCATTATTTTACAGACTAATTTTGACTAATATAAAGATCAAATGTTCTGATATTTTAGAATGGATGGATGGATGATTTAGGTCTTTGCAAAAAGCAAACATGATCTTATGCTTGCTTAACTATATGATCGATTAGATTGTACTTGATTCTACCAGTCCCATTAGGAAAGTCCTGATTTTTGAATCAGAATAGAATTGGAGAAAGGGAAAAGGAAGTTGAAAAAGAAAGGGAAAGAAATGGGAAGGGATGGGGAGGAAAGGGGAAAGGAGAAAAGAAAGGAAACTGGTCATGCTGCCTAAATATGGAACTAAGCTTTAGTTTCAGACATTGTTCTTAATTTTGAAAGATGGTATATAATATTTTAAATAAACAAATATTTATACATGCACACACATAAAGATACACACACACACAGAGAGAGAGAGAGAGAGAGAGATACACACACACACAAGAATGGAGGAGAGATTGAGATTTAATCAAGATTAAAAGAGCTGGATTTTTTGAAATAAATAATCTCTTCCTTTTTATTAGGAGCATAGTTCAGAATCAGAGTTATAGCAGAAACCAGCAATGTACAATAAAGAAGAATAAAATGGGATTGTGAAATTCCTATGATACAGGGGTGGGGGGAAGCAAAGGTTTTAGGAGTTCTGCTGCCAAGAAGGAATTTCTCTAGAGATGAGATTAAAGTTCTCTTATGCGCTCTTAAAAAGCAATTTGTTTTTTGATAGGATATTTTGCACTCACTTCCCTGGTGAATTTCCAAAATAGGTCTCTATCTATAGTTGGGCAATGATAGAAGCCTTTGTGAGAAACATTTGCTGTACTTAAAATTACATTCATTTTCTTTTTTTTTTAAAAAAAGCTCTTTTTCTTAGATGTTTTCTCATTTTTCTGCCAGTATGAAAGGTAATTCAGTGAGTTGATTTGTGGAATAAATTATATTTTTTTCTCTTAGAATGAGCTAAATTGGGGCAAGCTGGTGGAGGGGAGGCATCTAAAAGCAGACACATCCGTTACATTTCATCTTTGATATTCTTTATTAAATGTCTGAAAAATTAAATGCAACCCCTGCTCCAGTCTTCCCAAACTGAAAATATAGGTATTAGTAGCCCCAGAACGTCTAGCAATATATTACTGGTTACTGGGAATTATGGGAAGGCTGGGAATTATGAAAACTGAACACCCAGTGTATCTGCAGAACTTCAGGCTGATAAAGGATGGATTAGTTAACCTTGAAACATTTCAAAGATTCTAAGAAACTGACAGTATATAGAATTTGAAATTTATCAAAATGCTGAGAAGCTATTGCAAATGTGGAAGTTCAGGTCAAACTGGTTTCTTTGGTAGTATTCAAACAAACAATTTCATATCTTATTATTATAACTCTAACCCTAATCCTAACCCTATAGAATTGGGACAGAACATTTTGACTTGAGAAAGCTGTATTTGTTTGCTCTGAACACAAGGGGAAGAATGGCCTAGCTTCCCCTGCACAATACACAAAAAAATCAGATGCCAGTTAACTATCTCAGCAAGACGCAAAAGGGAAAATGTATTTATTTATTTGCAGCTATAAAAATCACATAAATAGCAAACATTTGATTATTTATTTATCTGATTTATATAGAATTCCCCTGCCCACCCCCCCAATGACTCAGTATCATTGATACTATAAAATATAATTAAAACATACCAAAAACCACCAGCAATTTTCATGAATCCTCTGCTGTGATGCTTGGGGAATAAGTCAGGGCCAAGGTCATCCTTATCGAAGAAAAAATGCTATTCCATAGCAGAAACACAGCAACAGAAAAGGTGTGACCAGAAGAGTCATTGTTTAAGAGACATGAGCCAGAATATTCTGACCCTGTTGGATCTTATTGGATGAACAAAACTGATAGGAGATGACGAGGAACTTTAAAGGTGGTACTAGCACCTTGAATTGTACCCAGAAGCCCACTGGTAACTAATAAAAACCATGAAGTAGAGATATTATATGGGTGCACTAATCTATGTCCATAACTACTTCTCCACTGTATATTTGACCAGGTACAGCTTCTGAGTGGTCTTCAAGGGCAGCCCCATGTAGATCACATTACAGTAGTCCAGAAATTATACATACAAAAATGGTATGAGCTACATCAGAGGTGTCAAACTCAAGGCCCTCAGGCTGCATGAAGCCCATGGAGTGCCCACAGGGTCACCCTGGAAACAGTGAAGGACCAGTCTGAGGTGCTTCTGCCAACAAAAATGGAGCTCGGAAGGATGGCCCTCCCAAGCTCCGTTTTCGCTGGCAGAATGGTTCAGGAGACCATCACAACTGAAAACAGAGCTCTTTAGGGCCACAGGCTATCCTCCCAAACTCCATTTTCACCAGCAGAGGGTTGCAGGAAGCTGTTGCAGCCAAAAACAAAGTTTTTCAATGAAATTGAGTTTTTGACATCCCTGAGCTACAGTGAACAGGGCCTCCTGATCTAGGAAATGATGCAATTAGCAGGCAAGATGGATTTCTCAAAGGTTCTCCAAGCAATGGCCCAATCTGATTTTTGAGTAGTAGTCTTAAATCTAGAAAGCTCCTTTGATTTTATTGTTTTTTTGTTTTGTTTTATTTTTTATTTTTTGAGAAAGAGTTACTTTATTTAAGATTGGAATAGATGGAAAATCTTTGAATCCAGATTTCAAAATCCACATTCCTCTGAAGCCTTCAATTACACACTGTAGTTTCCACAGGCATACATTTATCTGGTATCTTAGATGACTGCAGCTTAAACCTAAAGTCAGCTATGAAGGGAAATAGTGAAAAATTCACATTGTTGAAATTTTGATTATATTGTATGATCTACAAAACTCTGACTCTGGTCAAGTCAGTATCCAGCTGTGTCATTGACCTGATCCTGGTTCCACTGCTTGTATCTTTATGGCACCCAGTTGTCCCAGCATTTGAACTCCAAGAGCAAAAACATCCTGGACACAATTGCTATAACCCCAGACACTAAGTGAGAGAATTGCTACTACCAACTAAGTTACACTTGTATTCATTTTGCAATCAACAATGAGCAGGTGATCAGTAGCATCCAAGTCTCAGTAACATTTTTTCTTAAATATGATATTTTTGCATATTTTTGCAGTTTGTGAATGTTTCGTGAACATTTCAGAATTCAGTATGTTAGTTCTTAACTACAAGGATAATGATCAGGGACGGTATTCAATTTTTTAAACAACTGGTTCTGTGGGTGTGGCTAGATGGGCATGGCTAGGTGGGCATGGCCATGTGACTGGGTGGGTGTGGCTAGGTGGATATGGCATGTAACTGGGTGGGCATGACAGCTTCTTCTTCTTCTTCTTCTTCTTCTTCTTCTTCTTCTTCTTCTTCT